CACTGACGAAGAAATAGAGAAACTCTGCAGTAACATAATTGAAACATTAAATAACAATAAAAGTTACTTCAAGTATTTAATTAGTGACTTTAATCCAGAATTTCCTACTACAGAGGCGTCCGACAAGGAGACGCAATATCGCCAAAGCCCCTCACTGGAATTCTAGAAAATATATTAAGCAAAATGAACTGGCAGAACAAAGACCTATCCATTGATGGAGATTCTCTCAGCCATCTAATGTTTGCAGACTGCATCGTTCTTATTGCTACTAATCCTAAAGAACTACAAGAAATTATAAGTGACCTAAATGCAGCTAGCAATGAAGTTGGCCTCGACAAATGAACTTGACAAAAACAAAAACGATGTCCAACGAGCTAGTGGATGTCCAAGATATAATAATAAACAACACTGCAGTTAAGACGGTAGACGAGTATGGGACAATTAATACACAAAACTGGCTCCTTGCTCCCAGAAATCAACAGAAAAATGAAACTGAATGAAACAAATCCAAGATGCAATTCCGCGGCTACCAAACTTGGACACTAACGAAAGATATAATAGCGAAACTCAGGTCACTCAAAGGTCAATGGAGCGATGCATGCTAGGTATAACAAATAGAGATCGAAAAAGAATAGAGTGGATCAAACAAAAAACCAAGGTCACTTATGTAATCCACAGCATTAAACCTCCAAAATGGCAGTGGGCAGGATGAAAGAACTAATAAAGACGAAACACATTCAGAAGGAAACATGGGCATACTACTTTCGATCCCTATTTGCTAAAGGTAACGATAATGAACCACCAACATCAGAGGTGACGCAAACGAAGAAATAAATATTGAGGAGGAAAAGACAAAGGAAGCATTAAGGAAATTAAAAAATAGAAAATCACTAGGAGAGTGCAGAATACCAAACGACCTCCTAAAGCACGGAGGACCAGATCCGACAGAACAACTGTTAAAACTAATCCAAAAAATAATAGAACAAAACAAAATTCCTCAAGAATGGATATCAAGCATCCTAATACCTCTCTTTAAAAAGGGAGACAAATCGGAACCAGAAAATTACAGAGGAATTTAACACAACACCGAAATTAACAACCAAATAATAAAAAATAAATTGAATGAAATTATACCACCAGCACAAGAACAACAAGGTTTTAGGTCGGGAAGACGATGCACCAACGCTAATGAGGCAAGTGCAAGAGAAATCATTAGAATACAATAAACCGACATATCTATGTTTTATGGACCTTAAGAAGGCATTTGATCGCGTGGAATTAAAGGATGTTATCCACTTATTGTACGTATGATAGATGCCTCTAGTAATAATTAAAACGATCGAAAATATCTAGCAAACAGCACAATAAAAGAAAAAGTAGAACAAAAACTAACTGACCGTATTGAAGCTGGCAATGGGATAAGACAGAAAGATTTCCCGAGTCCTCTATTATTCAACCTGATTATGAATGAAATAATAAAAAAAGTAAGAACTAAAAAAGTATACCAAACGGGAGGAAAACAACTTAAAATAATCTGCTATGCAAACGAAAGAGGTGACAGACTAGAAATATTCGCAGAAGATAACAAGCTAGTGATTCTGAACACATTTTATAAACTACCGCCGAGGAGATTGTATACATGGAAGGCACCAGCAGATAAACCCCATAACGTAATTAGAAACCAGATAGATTATATATTGGTAAATAGAAGATTCAGAAACAGTTTTAAATCTGTCAAAACATATCCAGGAGCGGACATTGAATCTGACCACATACCTTTAGTGGGAGTCATGGATGTGAGACTGAAGACAATAAAGAAAAAGTCTAGACCTAACTACGACATGACAGCCCTGCAACATCCGGAAGTTAAAAAGCAAGTGGGGGAATATATTAACAACCAAGTTAAACAACTAAAAGAAGAAAATAACATCCAACGAGAAATCAATCAATTCGAAGAAATAATTAAGAAAACTAAACAAGATCTGCTAAAACCAAACAAAGAAACAAAGAAGAAATCTTGGATGACTCCAGAAATCCTTCATTTAATAGAACGCAGAAGGTTAATTAAAGGAAATAAAGATGAGTATAAAAAAATGCAGGCTTACATCATAAGAAAATAAGAGAAGCTAAAGAAAAAGAAGCTGTAGAGAAATGTAAAGAAATAGAAAGACTACAAGCCAAGCATGACAATTTTAATGTACACAAAAAGGTAAAAGAAATAACGGATACTTTTAAAAAGCGAACACAAATGAAACTCATAGACACCAATGGAAAATTAATCATTGACACTCAAGAGATGAAAGACAGATGGAGAATATATTTTTAGACACTTTTTCAAGACCAAAAAACGGATTATAGGCATCCATTTTCAGAGAGGATGACGGGCCCGGACATACTTAAATCCGAGGTAGAAGAAGCAATAAAACGGATGAAAAGCAGGAAAGCTGTAGGGCCTGATAATATCGAAGCTGAATTTTTAAAACTCTTGGAGGAAGAAGGAATAATTTGGATCAAGGCTGTCTTCAATAAAATATACAATACAGGAATCATCCCTGATAAATGGCTAGAATCAGAATTCATAGCGATACCTAAAAAACAGGGGGCTAAAAAGTGCGAAGAATATCGAACAATCAGCCTAATGAGCCACATGTTGAAACTCTTTCTTAAAGTCATCCATGGAAGAATTTATAAGAAGCGCGAGGAACAAATATCGGACAGACAGTTCGGCTTCATTAACGCTGTGGGTACCAGAGAGGCACTTTTCGGAGTACAGATACTGATTCAAAGATGCAGGGACGTTAACTGCGACGTATACGCGTGCTTGATCGACTATGAAAAGGCATTTGACAGAGTTCAACATCAAAAGATGATAAACATTTTAAAAGAGGCAGACCTGGATGACAAAGACCTCGGAATAATTTCAGAACTCTACTGGAATCAGACCGCATACATGAAAATTAACGAAGAAGAAACAGATCACATAAAAATACTACGTGGAGTTAGACAGGGATGTATCCTATCGCCGTTGATATTTAATATGTACTCAGAGAAAATTTTTAACGAGGCTCTTTACGGAATAGACGAGGGTATCCTTATAAATGGTGAAAGAGTAAACAATGTTAGATATGTCGACGACACCATGGTGATAGCAGATAGTTTAGGGGGACTTCAGAGGCTAATGAACAGAATAAACGAGTACAGTCAACAGTACGGACTAAACATTAATACCCACAAAACGAAACAAATGATTATCAGCAAGGAGAATATAAATGGGGCTCATCTATACATTAATGGGACGCAGATAGAGCGAGTAAAACAGTATTGTTACCTGGGAACTATTATTAACGAACAGTGGAGCAATTTACAGGTAATAAAGTGCCGCATAGGAAAGGCAAGAACGGTCTTTAACAAAATGAGCGCCATCTTCAAAAGTCACATATCCCTTAATACAAAAAATGAGACATTTGAGATGCTCTGTTTTCTCTGTATTGTTGTACGGGGCGGAGGCATGGACGCTTACAGACACCACTATTAAAAAACTTGAAGCATTTGAGATGTGGCTTTATAGAAGAATGCTGAGAATATCATGGACAGCAAGGATCACGAACAAGGAAGTTCTAGGAAAAATGAAGAAGGAACCAGAGATTGTGTTTACGATCAAACCCATAAAATTGCAATATCTGGGACACGTTATGAGAAATCAGCACCGTTACTCCCTGCTACAGTCTATATTGCAAGGTAAAGTCAAAGGTAAGCGAGGACCCGGTAGAAGGAGAATGTCATGGCTGCGGAATTTAAGAACATGGTTTAAGAAAACCTCAACGGAGCTGTTTCGAGCCGCAGCGAGCAAGGTTATGATTGCTAACATGATTTCCAACATCCGAAACGGATAGGAACCAGAAGAAGAAGAATGCAGACGACACAATACTACTCTGTCAGAGTGAAGATGATTTAAAACGTATGCTGCACCAATTTAATACACCCGCCAGAAAATTTAACACGGTAATTTCCCCAAAAAAGACAAAATGCATGGTTATAACAGCAAATTTACTAAGACGTAAATTGGAGCTGGAAGGTCAGATAATAAAACAAGTGATGTAGTTTAAATATCCAGGCATATCATTATCTAGCTACGAAAATCTCGAAACAGAATTGGAAGATCAAGTGAATAGAGCAAACAGAGCTGCAGGTTGCCTGAATGAAACAATATGGAGAAATAAAAATATCGGAAAAGAAATAAAAGGCAGAATTTACAAAACATTCATCAGATCAATAATAACATACGCGGCAGAAACACGGCCCGATACAGAGAGAATAAAAAGGATGTTAGAAACTGCAGAGATGAAAATAGGAACACGGTTCCCTAATAGGAAGACGATCAATAGGAAGACCACGTAAACGATGGAACGACAACTTACTGGAGGCACATTGAGTCATGTCTACATAAAAAAGAACTAACAATAGCTGGTCCACTAGAATTACACTGCGGTATCCAAGAGGCGTCAAGAGACCAAGAAGACGTCCAAATTTAAGATGGGACTATGACATAAGGAAACAAGCGGGTACAACATGGCACAGAAAAACAAATATTAGACAATCGTGGGTTCGGTATAATACACTGAGACTGATGATAATGATGATATTACTGTAAAAAGTATTGTTGATATATTTTATAAAGTAGGAATAAGAGATGGATGGAGTTCATGGTACAAGTTTATGGTACAGATTTCAATTTGTTATTTATTATATCATTATTTTATTCCGTAAATTAATTATATATAACTATAATAGTTTAAATTTATATTTTATATAACGGTAACTTGTTTTAATATGGTTCACATTTAAAAAATCATAAAATTGCGATTAAACTTTATGATAACATTCCCGTGACTGGTAATTAATCCCATTATTTTATGATGATATATAATCCGTAGTGATAAGAAATTAACAACTGCATCTTTTATATCCTAATTGTCAATATTAATTTTGCGTGAACTCACCTTTTTTTGTAGTTTCTGGACTGTGAGGTGTATTTTTGTCCTCTCTCTTCTCAGTATTTTCCACTATTACTACCGGCGTTGTTTTAGGAGAAGACCTGTAACATAATATGTACTGAATATAGATTTAATATGATATTAAATACTACAGGTAATTACAAATGGGACAGACAGATCTTCATCAATTTCGCATTTTTCGAATAAATAATATATTGAACAAATAATTTTTACTTTCAAAAATTCTTATCCCAGTTTTTTTATCGTTAAAAAGCTAGGGAGCAATCACTTAAATAAGGAATTCAAATATATAGAAAACCTTAACAAAGTTAAAGAATTCAGAGTATTCTATAAGAAAGTTAACATCAACAGAAAAGATAGATCTTCTTATATAAAAAGCTGTATTAATATTTCTCTTCAGCCCTATGCCAGCTCCAAAGAAGAAGAAGTCACAACCCTAGAAGGAAGATTCAGAGACATCAGTAACAAACGGAAAGATCTAATTAAAGAGACAAACAGGAAAAGAAGAAGAGCTAACAGAACAAGAAATCAAGAAGACAAAATAATTGCTAACGAATTAAATAGGAAAGTTAAGAAATAATTAGAAAAGCATAGAAATGAAATCCGGTACCAAGAGCTGAATCCAAATAAATCGGCGTTCTGGAAGCTTTAAAAAATAGTTCAGAAAGACAAAATGTCAATTCAACTCTTACATGGCATTTTACGTGCAGAAGAAGAAAAAACGGAAGTGCTAAAGGACACACTGGAAATGGGATGCAGGAACAACTACCATCCCAACGAAGACTTAAATTTCACAGAAAATGTAGAAAAAAGAGGAAGAAATCTAAGAAAAAGAAGGGGCAGAATAGGTATTACACACACCTCCCCAAAGAGGTAGCTGGTAAAAGAGCTGATCAAATAGCTGATAAAAATGACCAATGCAAAGAAAACACCAGGACCAGGGCACAAATACAGCACGTAAGAACCTGCCAGCGAAAGTGATCTATTCGTCTATTCGCTTTGTGCGTAACCATGGTAAGGGTACCTTGAAACGATGCCAGCGTGCGTATAGGTGAAATATCACAAAATTGGACCCATCTTATTACGTATAAATTTTATCAAAAATAGGCGCAAATACATGTTGCGTATTTAATTTTGCTAATAATAGCAATAGTGAGCGTAGTTTTTTAGAGGTTTCCAAAGATAACATACAAATTAGAGAAAAGAAAAAGTTGGATTCGTGCTATTAATATGAAAAAGTAAATATCACATAATTTCATTTTTATGCAATTGAAATGGGAAAAATTTAAATAATATACATTAAATGATATTTTATAAGGGTACAAACTAACTTTTACTATTATTGTTTTTAATGCATGCTCTTCACATGCTCTTCCACATGACAAACGTCATTTATCAGTACTAGATTTTTCCCTTTCTTTTCCGTTTGGGGTTGAAAAGATAAATTATGATGAATTTTTAGAAACCCAGTTCCTAATACTACATTCATTTTGTACAAAAACTGAAAAAATATAATTAAATACCTAATTAATAATAATTGTCAATTTCATATGTATTTAACATATGTTAAATTAACGAGTATAGAGGATCTACAACATCTTATCGAAAGCTTGAGTATGAATAGTGATGAGATGGAAATCACTATAAACGCTAAAAAAACGAAGTACATGCTGATTACAAAAAGACCACAAAATATACATCACCTATTGACAATCAATGGTAACGTGATAGAACAAGTAGAAAAATATCAGTACTTGGGAACTTTGATCAATGAAACCAATAGTCATACTGTAGAAATAAACAGGCGAATAGAGATTGCCAGATCAGCATTTATACGAATGAAGCCACTTCCAACGTGCAAAAATTTAAACTTGGATATCGGACTACGTACCATTCGCTGTTATGTATTTTCAATATTATTATATGGAGCTGAGACTTGGACATTCAAAAAATGTAATTTAAAAAGAATCGAGGCTTTCGAACTCTGGTTATACCGCAGAATATTAAAAATATCATGGATTGATAGAATTACAAATGAAGAAGTACTGGAGAGGGTTGGTAAAGAAACAGAACTAATCACCACTATACAAACCAGAAAACTGGAATAATTAGGCCACATGATGAGGGCCTAAAATTAAAAATATGAAATATGAAATTAAAATATGAAATTTTGAGACTCAGAATAGAGGAAAAGATTCAAGGAAGAAGATCTGTTGGCAGAAGGCAGAACTCACGGTTAAAGAATCTACGTGATTGGTATCAATGCAAATCGATTGATTTGTTTAGAGCAGCAAGTTCTAAAATAAAAATATCCGTTATGATTGCCAACCTCAAGAAGAGGTCCAAAGAAAGAAGAAAAAGAACCTCAAATTAGGAGGTCCAAATCTGTCAGATGAAGGCGGTAGGTGTCGCGTCAGTCACGCACGAATATTACAAACATTATTAATAATATGTTAAGACTAAGATATTTCACTGACAGATGGCAGATGGCTCATGTCCTTACAATTGGAAAAAAAGCGAAAAATCGGACCTTTCCACAAAACTGCAGGCCAATACTTCTATTGTCATCAATAAACAAAATTGCAGAAAGAATAATACTAACCAGGCTCAAAGAGGAATCTAAAGCAATTATAAGTATACCTAAAGCACCGTTCGGGTTCAGAACTGAACATTCATGCGAATTCCAGGTACTGCAATTACTTTCTTGATATAATTAAGGCTTTTGAAAGAGTATGGCACGTATAATCTCTATATCTGCTGTTTAAGCTATATATCTGCTTTACCTGTACACCATCTACACACCTGACACATCAACTGGTTCCAGATAGTTATCGAGTTTATACGCAGACGATATTGCAATAGCAGCCTGCAGTAAATATCCGAATGTAGCCACAAATCATCTACAAAGATCTCTAAATCGTATACAAGCTTAGAGTATACGATGGAAAATAGCAATAAACCCGGAAAAAACACAGGTGGTCATGTACCAGCAAAGGAAGGGCAGACCAAATAGAGAACTAACGGTACTCAATACATCAATTGAATGGATCAGTCAAGCTAAATATTTGGTTATAACGCTTGATAAAAAGCTAACGTTCGCGGAACATATAAACCAAACACTCTACAAAGCCAAAGCACTAGAGTGGAAGATCTGAGTGGCAAATAGTATAATCCTACTAACATTGGAACATGCCTCTGCAGCATGGGGACATAACTAGAAAACCAATAGAAAGAAGATGCAAACAGTCCAAAATTTCATAATCAGAGAAGCGTTGGGAATACCTAAGTACGTCCCGTTAAGGGCCCGTAAAAAGGCAAGTCAGGCTTTTATACAGCCATTTAGGCATAGCCCCATAAGGCAGGTCAAAAGACCTTAAACGGGGAGGCTGTGTATCGAGGTCAAGTGCGACAAGCATGACTTCGATCCTTTCGGGGGCTCAGCCAGTGAGGAGGATAAAATTTATTTCGCCAAATTGGCGGCTGAGTAACCGAACACACACATATTTCAAAAAAAGAGACATCAACTTACGTTGGTATAACGGGTACGTTGGTTATACCTTTCTGTTCGGCACACCAGATTTTTAGGGGACTTAAGTCCCAAAATCATGTTAAATTAAATTCATAATTTCATGGAAAAAAGCTGCTCTAGGTACCCCTACAGTTAGGTGGCCTAACCACACCTAACTATCTAATCACATTCTTCATTGCATTCAAACAAACTTTTTTAAATTTATAGAATTCCCAGTAGAATTTTAAATCCTATATTCAACTTCCTCTTCTATTTAAATTTAACACTAATTTACATAATACTCCTCATTCATTCATCTTCACAGGTTTCAGTTATGTTTTTTATTTTATTAATAAATGATTTGTTTTTCATTCTTGATCAATAATTATTTCTCATGATATATAGTTACTTAATTATTAAAAACCGTAACGAAGTTGTAGCTGTTATAAAAAATATTATTGTATACAAATATTAAAACATTCATTAAATGTTCAAGTCATTCACCCACAAACAATACAATGTTATTATTGTTGGAGTTTTATTTTTGCAGTGCTTTTATCTTATCGCTTTGTGCAATACTATTAAAAAGTGAAGGGAACTTTTAAGTTAGAAATTTATACATGTAATATGGAATATATATATATATATATATATATATATATATATATATATACAGGGTGTTTCAAAAAGGTGTCATAAAATAAATCACGCATTCCGGGGGAAAAAATAAATTGATTGAATCCAACTGACCTTACTTAGTACAAAAGTGTACACAAAAAAATTGCAGCCCTTTGAAGTTACAAAATAAAAATTGTTTTTTTGCATTATCTCCTAAACTACTTGTCATTTTGTAATAAAAATGGACACGTTACTTTCTTGTTCTGAAAGCATTTTTCATAAAAAAGAAACAACAAAATCTAAGAGCACAGAAAAATTTTAAGGTGGTGTGCAGCGCCAAGTCCTCCCAAACTTTTGAGTACGTTCAAATTAAATGAATTTTGTGGCATCATTAGATTAGATTAAGAGAGGTGGCCTTTCGGCCTATTTCACTGCGACCTTTTCAGATCTATTGTGGTCCTCTAGTCCTGGATAAATTCTCTAGCCTAACCCTCTTTATAAAGTCTAGTAGCTTCGAGACTGCACCTTCCATGTAGCTATTTGCCGGTGGATTTTCTTCTCCTAATGCAAAAAACCGCACATTTGCCAGACTCTCACACTGACATAAAATGTGCTCTGCTGTTCCTTTTTCGAGGTGACAGAATCTGCACAGGTCATCATCTGATAATCCCATTAGCTTTAAGTGCCTATTCAGCCTACAGTGCCCTGTTAGAAGACCTACTATAGCTTTGACTGTTTTCCTGTCTTTGCTAATTAGGTCTGCCGTAAATTTTATCGAATGTTCTGTATTGAACTGTTTCGCCTGTCTTTGTCCTGGTGAATTCCTCCACCACTCCAGAGATTTGTGAGCTATTCACTTCTTTGTAGCCGTTCTTGTTCATCATTAGTTTAACACGTTATTTTTAAAACTTTTTTGCCTCATGACTTTTTCGAAAAATTAATTTTTTCCTAGTT